TGTCCTTTTGGAGTGAGGGGGGAGTACTATGTTTCCGTACTGTAAATGGGGACGGATGAAACTATTGAAGATTGTATGAAAAGTTCGTCTGTCAAACTGTCCAAAAATGCGCTTGAACGTTACCAGTGCAAGGTTTGCTCGGAAGGCATTTTTGTCACAGTTAGCGTAAGACTTTAAGTCATGGGGCACCAGGACTCCTAAATCTTTTTCGACTTGGGATACTACTAGAGAGGAGTTTCCTAAGTTGTAACTGTAGTTTGCGACATGTCGCAGATGGACTACTTTACACTTAGAAGTGTTAAAGGTAAGTCCGTTATCGTCTGCCCAACTTTGAAGTCGAGTCAGATCCTCCTGAAGTGCCTGTATATCGTCTTGGTTGCGTATCTCTCTCTCTCTCCAAAGATTCACGTCGTCGGCAAAAAGTAATAAGTCTGACGTTACCTGTTGAGGAAGATCATTTATGTAGATCAAGAAGAGAAGAGGCCCTAGTACTGAGCCCTGGGGGACCCCACTAGGACATTCCATAGCCTGAGATAAAGTGAAATTAACCCTAACCTTAAAGTGTCGATTTTTTAAGTATGAAGTAAGCCAGTCGATTAGAGGTGGTTTGATACCTAGTCGTTTGAGCTTGTTGATAAGACACAAGTGGTTAACCTTATCAATAGCTTTTGAGAAATCAAGGTAAATGACATCAACCTTTCCCTTGCGATCGAGGATGCTTGTCCATCTGTCCACCGCAGTCAGCAGGTTGGTTATACAAGAGTAACCCTTCCTGAAACCATGCTGTTGGGGTGAGAAGAAATTTAAGGACAGTAGATAGTCATTTAAACTGTCGCATATCAGGGACTCCATGAGTTTTGAAGGTAACGACAGAAGAGCTACCGGCCGATAACTTGAAGGTTCATCGCGTCGACCACCTTTGAAAATTGGTGTGATGTGAGCCAACTTCCAGTTTTCCGGTAGTTTGCCTCGGCTAAGCGAGTGTGAAAACATCACGCTAAGCGGCGTTGCCAGGATTGAGGCTGCCTCCCTTAGTATGGCAGGATGAACCATATCCGGGCCAGGAGAAGTGTTAGGTCTTAAGTGCTGCAGTTTCCGGAACACCAAGTCAGCGCTTAGGTCCACTTCAGAAAGTCCTGTGGAATTGCAGATGAAACTGTCGTCAATAAAGTTGATGTCAGCCGGTTGAAATGTTTGAGAGTAATGGGCCGCCAGAAGGTTAGCGGCGTCGCCATCGTTGTTGGTCGGGCCGTTAAGACCTAGCAGTTGAGAAACTCCTGTTTTGGCTTGACGAAGAGAGGCTGCATAACGGAATAGGCTTCTAGGGTTAGAGGCGAATTTGTCCATAAGCTTTGTTTGGTACTGAAGCCTGTCTTCTCTTATAGCCTTCGTGCATGTGTTCCTGATATGTTTGTATTGCCTATACGCTCCATCGTTATTAGTTCGTTTGTAATCCGCCCAACAGTGCCGTTTGCGGCTTAGGAGGCGAAGGGTACGGTTCTTGATTACTGTAGGTGGCTTGAAGCTTTTGGGAACCGTTTGAGGAACTGAATGGTCTGTAGCACATAAGAGCGTGTGCAGTAAGAAGTCCCAATGACCATCCACATCGATTTGAGGGTGAACATCCCAAACCACCTGTTGTAGGTGGTCACGTAGAGCTGGCACATTCAGCCGTTTAAAATTCCAACGCAAATTATTGTTGGGATACCTTAGCTTAGTTTTGATGACAAAACTGAAGGCTATGACGGCATGATCGCTTTTTCCCAGAGGAGCCAGGATTGAGAGGTTGTCGACTAGGAATTCTTCGTTAGTGAATACACAGTCTAAACGCGATGGTGTCTGACTGTTTCTCCAATGAGTTGCCGACCTCACATTTCCGTATAATCCCCAATGTTTAATGAGGTTGAAGAACCGAGCCGCAGTTGGGGTTTCACTTCTAATATACCTATGTCTCGCGAAATTGACTCTAGGGAGACTAAAGTCCCCTAGAATCAGGATATGAGTGAAACCAAGAAACGTAGAGCGGGATAGTCCTTCCAGCATACGACTATCGTACTCGGTGTCGGCAGTTGGCTTCCTGTAAATGACTCCGACTAGACACCTGGAAGTACTAGACAACCTTACAGAGCACCATATGGATTCCTCAAGATTGATAAACTCGAGGTTGTGAACCTGGTGCACCTCCAAGTAAGAGCTTATGTATATGGCTACTCCGCTCCCAATTCCTGTTTTTCTGTCGTTGCGGAACAAAGTCATCCCAGGTAATGCTAACTCTTGATCCGAGAACTGAGAAGATATCCAGGTTTCAGATATTCCTATCAGATGGGCCTTGTTAGCGTTGCTAAGTTCACGTAGTTCATCCAGTTTGTTTGGTAAACTCGTGGCGTTCATATATAAGCAGTTTATGCTTTCAATTTGGAACGCGTGAGCTTCGTCCTGTTTTTCTGTATGAACCTTATGTGAATGGACAGGTAGCTCACCTATATGAGGTTTGCCGAGGTGGTGGGCCCTGTCATTTACACGTTTTTTTATCGTTTAGACAGTCCACAAATGGAATGGTCAGCTCCAACTTGCCTTTGTTCTTGGTCCTGATTTCGTATGGCCTATCCGGGTGCATGTGGATTCTAGGTGGCAATCGACGTCTATTAGCACGAAATGCTTCCAGAACTGCAGCCGCCATGTGGGAAGATGGGAAGGTTATCTTCATTAGACGGGGTCTAAGATCACTGTCCTTCTTGGCTAGTCTCGTCACATGCTGAGTCAGTATGTGTTCGAGCCTCAAGGACTGTTTGATGAATTTCCATTCCCTGATGTCAGAATTTGATTGAGTAGGGTCTGCATTTTCCGGTATACCTTGGACAATTATGTTTCTTCCGCGGAAGAACTTCTCGCGAGATTCTTTAGGGACGTTTCGTATGATATTGCGCTCAGAGTACGGTATGTCAGGCAATATTCTTACGTTACCATCTGATTTCAGTAAGTGACTTGCTAGCAAGACGTCCTCTACGTCGGTAGCATCCTTAAGTGTTACTTGGAGAAGCCTCGGGTGATTTAGATGCTTAGAATCCTTTCCTCGAGTGAGCCGGGTGACCGTCAAAGGCTCTATTCTAGGAAGTTCGAGCTTCTTGTTCAATTCACCCCACAGCATCCTGTCGTTTTTATCCTGCAGACTGAGAGGAAGGTCAGGATTGTCGACGAGGTTCATGATAATGAGAGAATCGTCACGAACTGTTGTTAATTTACCAGGTTTCACGATGGGTTCACGTTTAATAACTTGTTGTTTGGAGGTCAGTGTGCGTTTATGAATCTTGGGCTCTTTATTGACCGGACGAACAGTCTTGGGGGTAGACTGTGCGACTAAATCACCGGTTATTTTCCGTGCAGCAACACTTGGGTTGCTCGGCTTAGGCGGTGATGCCTGGTTCTTTTGGGCTCTCTTAACGTGGGTCGAATCACCTGCAGGGTTTTGGGAACCACTGTTGTGCTCAGGGACCCTGAGCTGGGAGACCCGAGTTTGCCTAGGGAGTCTAGTACCGTCGACGTAATGATGGTACTGAGCCTCGACACGTCGTCATTAGTGTTGATGGATGCTCCATCGATGGTATACCTATCGACATCCCTATTTTTGAGTCCGTTGCGCGCTCTTGTTTGTATATCGGTTTTTTTACTGTAGTGTTCCAAGTTAACTGACAGCTTATTCCGAAGACCTGTCAGTAGGACAATGATGTTACTCAGCAAGACTACTGCGTCCGTGTTGCACGTGACACATACCCACTTTTGGTCTCACTTGCTGAGTCTGTTGTAAGCAGTTGCTGTCAGATTTGTGCATGCTTCGTGGAACCAACCTTTGCAGTTGTCGCACTGCATGCCAGTTGTGACAGCAAAACGGCATCCCGGACGTTTGCATGAGTTTTTCATGACGGTGTTGAAGCAAACTATGTTATAGATGCTTGCAAAAGCTTAAGACCTTTTTAAAAAAAAACACTAAAATGCACACTGAAAACGGACAAAAATGGACAAAACGAGTGATCTAAACTGAAACTAGTCTATACGTGAAAAACAAAAAAAACCGAATAGTAAGCTGAGGCAAAACCACAGGTAACTATTAAATATAGTGAAACTCAAAAGAAAGTAATCTACCGAACGTATAGCTCAGGATAGATTCTTTAGAACTGAAATGGTACTTTTGTTGCGTAAGAACACAGCAAAAGTTTGATATATGCAAATCACGTTAGGACTAAACTTCCCGTTCGAAAAGCGCGCGTTGCTATCAAGCGATGGATATTGTAATCCAGGCGTTTTTGCACGTTGCAAGAGATGATTACACATTGAAAGACATCGTGAGATTTGTTTACACCAGACAACTTCCGTAATATCTGTCTGGGCACTTGTATAGCCAAAGTAAATATGCATTTTATTGGTAACAATAATAGCCAGTACTAGTTTGTTTTCCTGGAGTCGGCAGCTGCTCAGTATTGTTGCTAGGATAAATCACAGGAAAATGAAGTGCTTGCCTTGTAAGTGAATAAAATGAATAAATGTCATCTGAAACTATCGTAATTATGCTCTTCTGGAACTCCTTAAAACTTTTAGTGAGTTTTTAAATTCATCCAACGTCAAAAGCCTTTGAGATAGGATTGTCCACCGAATAGTATCCGTTAGGTCAGTCAAAATACACTTAGAAGTACACTAACGCAGCATTAATACTGAATGAATGGACTAGAAATTACGGCAGTCACAAAAGGACGCAACATACAAACTCACCTACATGCAGCCATTGGTTGACGATCAAAAAGTGCAACACCGAGGTTTTCTTCAGCTGACAGTCAAAAACTTTCGACACACGTTGAAATATATATTTTACAGAGTTTCCTGAAATATACGGATCTTCTAAAAGCATACATAATATTAAGTTGTGCAAGTCTACAAACGGTACCGACATGAGGTACTTTAAATACGGAATGACCGCCTTAGGCCAAGCCGCTCAAGGTTGCCGAAACGAGAAAGCGGTAATTTCACTTCCAAACTATTGATGACCAGGGTTGGCTGCTGATTTGTCACACGGTAGGTTGCGTAGTGCTTTTAGAAGATACTTTTCGGTTTTTTGCGGTTCCATTGTTCATTATTTTACACGTGCTGTGTTTTTAAAGCTAAAGGGAACTAGTGTTTGCCCAGTATTCATATACTTTTATCACTCAGTATTTACTCTGAATAAGCATATTGTTGTAAGAATAGTCTAAATCTAGCTTCTTTTACGGAGTTAGCTGACAGAGTGGTTTTATATAGATTTAGTTCAAAATACCTGCTCGATTGTAGATCCTCAGTTATCTGTAGAGCTGATCGATTCACTACGAATCATTGTTAGTGTCCGATACGTTCCTTAAAACTATTTAGGAAAGCTGCAAAAATTAAAGCAAATTATCCCACTGAGACAGGACTTTTCAACACCTTACAGATAATTGGGTTTTCTTCATCTTAAGCAAAACAAAACTTTCGGCCTAAGCATGAACAATGCATATGTAGTTAGTTGCGGACCTTATCAATGGGTAAAAATAAGTTTTTTTAAAGGTATCCGGGCGCTTCCTTGGAAATTAATAGGCGTTAAGTTCTGCCAAGTTACTTTGAGAGTATATGAGATGTCATGATTGTTGAATGTTAAAAGTGTAGAACAAATTTTCATTTTGATATCATGACATTTTTCGTGCGTTAGCATGCTCTTCAACATTATTTTAAAGTAAAGGTTCATTTGGCTTCACCTTCAGATACAGTAGTGTTAACAATTATAGGAGTGGATTCGCTTCGTAGTCGTCTAAATATGTTGAATGCTTTTATCGCTTAGGTAGCTGTTGACTGCAGGACTATTGGATTAATTAATTAATTAATTTGAACGCATAACTATTGGTACAAGTGGGCACCAAATATATGTGCGCCACACTATATATATATTGTGATCATGTTAGAGGTTTGTGTACGGTGTTGATTCGTAGTTTTAATTGACAGTTATTTATAGACAAAGAATACGTTCACTGAATTGGTGAGACCAGTTTATGGATAACTTTTGGGCGACGCTAAAATGACCTTGATCATGTCCACCTATTAAGACTAAATGAGGGTTATAAACCAGTGTGAGTAATTAGAGCTATGATTTACAGTTGATGGTTGGGTTTAGGAATTAGATTTAGGGTTTCCATCACGAACTGACATAAACTGCAATGCCAAAACGCTACTTGGCCAAGTGGTTGAATGAATTTCGTGCCAAAATCCAAGGCCTGTTATCTTACATCTGATTAGTTTGTCCTTAGTCTCGCCACCGCACTAGTATGTTAGAAGACATTCGTGATTTTGTTTCCATTTTATTCCCGAAGAGAAGCGGGCGAATTAATGCCAAATAAATATGTGGAATAGCTACAGTCTATATCTGGGTAGGATTTTCTGTCCTCAATTAGATATGAAACCTTATTCTCGAAAATGATTAATCTCTGCCTCTGAATATTTTAAGTTAATAAATAAATCTAGTTGTAGACCAATCCTTAAAAAAATCAAATAATGATAGCTTAATCTGTACATGAATGTCTATTACAAAGATAGAAATGGGAAAATTGAGTTACCCTTACAAACCATTTCGCTGTTAACCATTCTAATGACAGTTTTCCTTAGGCTATGACTCAGTTACTATAGTATTAATAATTCAGTTTGTCTTAGGATTTATTGTTGACTGAAAACATCGAATGATAGTAATTAATGCAAATTCACCGTACCGAGACCTGATAGTAGTTTAGTATCGAGGTATTATTGTTAACTGCTTACGAGTTTATTTCTGTAATCTTACCTTTATCAATAAGTGGCTGGTATGTTACGTATACCTAACTACCGTCTACTTTGATATACACACCAGGATTGAGTAGTAGGTTGGAAAAAAGGCTGGGAGCGGACAAATCGAGACGTACCATCAATTCATAAAGTCATTGGCTGGGCGATACATCAGTGGTGCTCAAATTTCATCAACTAGGTTGCAGGTTCGAACCTCGTCAAGTACATGAATTTATACGTGACAAATGAGCTTATGAATCAGAATTTCATACTTGAACTTTAGGACTCACATTTGTGTATTCCCTAAAGCGTAATTGGTTAGTTAGTTATTTTTTGATATTTGCAGTTTGCTAGATCGCGCATATTCAGGATGGAAATTTTCATCGGCTTTATCAAAATGACTGTATTATTCTGCACATGGTAACTTAATAAAAGTAGAATTCTAACCTAATTGCTCCATTTTAGATTGTTTCACTTTTAACAACAGAAAATCAGCGAAAATAAAAAAACGTTACAACACACATGAGTAAAAAGAGGGGACGTCAAATGCTAAGGCTCACAAATATAAAACATATGATGACTAAGTGTGCCAGAGTGTGACTCCCATCTGATTTTCAACCATGAGAAATGTTGGACCTTGTACATAAGTGTTTCGATCCAAGTTGTCTCACCTCATCAACACAACAGAATAGAATCAGTTGTATGGAAAACGAAGTTCTCCAAATTTATGTACTGTAAGTAGTGAGCAAATAAAAAATGATAAACATACGGTCGAGCGAAGGAGTTAAGTTTTGGGATGAAGTAAATGTAACATTAGTGCTTTTAGGTCGGAGGTAAAATAAAGTATGAATACATCAACAATACAATTCGTTTATAGCTATGTAATATTGCCTTCAACTAAGGGGTAGTGTTTCCGATATTATTAATTTTAGGAAGTCTGCAGCTTAACATGACCCAATCTCAGTCAATCATGTAGTGAAGCTATACCTTGTTTTGGATTAAAAGTTCTTAGTCTTCTTCCAACCTACTCTTACTCCATTCATGATTCCCAGTTGAGTTAGGTTGCTATGAATGCGTAACATGCCTCAGTGAGTTTGGTTGATTCGTCCACCGAAACTGTAATTAAAGTGGTGTGAAATACATAACAGTTATCTAGTTACATTTATAATTTATCTTCTTTATCTTGAGTTTAGTATCATTCTATGATTTTCATAGGGAACGACAGCCTTTTATCAAGTGTTTTTAGTGATAACTGATGGTATTGTAATCTGTTTGCTTTAATTATTGGGGAAATATGGATTTCCAGGCATAACAATTCCTCTCAATATGGGTGATAGTTTGAGATAAACGATTATCTGCAAATAGTTTCAGTCTCTCATCATGATGGTCAGGTCTTCCCGGGCTCTGTCTCATAAAATTGATATTTCTCAACCTCACTGCTATCATCGGTGGGTACGTACCACTTTGTTTTGAAGGATACTTTGGTGATCTTGTAGCTGTGAGTTTTCCATCCTATGAGCACTTTTCATGCTTTTGTTGGACAGTATATGTTAGACTTCTTATGCTTGCGGGGCGTTCTCTTCTTAATAATCAGAACACAACATCACCTCTCCCAAAGTTAGTCTTTTCCATCCAGATTGTGTCCAATGGGCTTCGCTTATCTCAATAAGGGTCAGGTTATTCATCATTTTCCCCGCTATTCGAAAGACCTTCCCGCTATCTGAACTTTCTACTTACCTATGTTAATTGTTGCTCTAGTTTTTAAGAGGGACATCGGTCATCTAACTTTCGAAGAATGTTAGCTTTCATCATGAGAGGTCATAACTCTTCTATATGAAGACCCTTCAACTCACTGCAGAATTTGTGATCTAAGCGGTTGTTTCTGGCTTAAGCATTTTAGCGAGGTTCTTTTCTACGGGGGTTGGGATAGCTTACTCTCCTTTACTTAGGTTTGAAAGCGTCAGTAATCGTAGAGAGTTCCTGGTGAAGAATTCCACTTCTTAAAGTTTTTCTACGCCACGGTCTAAATTTCTTATGCTAATGAATATTCTATTTTGATTTGTAGATTATCTAGCGGTAAATTAAATAATCACTTCCTGATGAGTCGAGAGGATGAATTCTCATCACTTGTCACCCAAGCGCGTCTAAAATGTGAGGAAGGGAATTTTCATGAGTCACTCAAGCTCTGTCAGGATGCCTACGCAATAAATCCTTCTTCTAGTCTTATGCGAAAAATTGTTCGTCTTCAAAATTTAGTAAGCCAAGATACCAAGGAGAACATTCCAATAGCTCCCGAAAAATCTGAAAATTCTTTAAAAGTAAGATTCTTCTTGTTTTTACTGCTTATGCAAACAGGGAGCTGTTAAGTACTTTGTTTGCGAGTCTGAGAAGTATGTATCTCCTAGTAACATAACTGACAGCACTAATCTTCTGAAGGAAGCGTATTTATGTGTTCCGTCAGCTGAGATTAAATCAAAGATTGGACGAAGTGAATCAGCTCATCCTACAACCTATACTGATACTTCAAACACGAAAGAAGCTTCAGGGGAAGAAAAGGTATGTACTCGTTTTTGATAAATTTTCATGAACAAAAATAGCTTTATGATGGTACTCAATTCACTCTAATTGATAAAGCGAAATTGTTATATCAATCTGGAGACTATGTTGAATGCCTTCGTCTTCTTAAAAAAGCCTACAACCTTAAGCAATGCGATAAAGTAAAGCGGAAAATTGAAAGGATCGAAAATTATTTGGAAGAAAACGGAATTCCTGTTGATCATTATGATTATAAGTCGCACACTAATAATGTTGTTACTGCAGTTGACCATGATGATGAAAAGGACCCTCCTAAACTCACCTATGATTTGGTCGAAATAGCTGATAGATTCAGTGTCCCCAAGTTGTTATATGATAAATTGTATGATTATCAAAAGTACGGTGTTAAATGGCTTTGGAGTTTACATCAGAAAAATTCTGGCGGCATATTAGCTGATGATATGGGACTAGGTAAAACAGTTCAGGTAAGTGTATTTTGCAATTTAAGGCTTGTGGCTTTAGAAATGGACCCAGCAAACGTCTCATGTATAATGTTATTTAATTTAATACATTTCATTTTTTCAACTCGAAAGTGACTTATCTTTTTCAGAAAAATAGTTTTGTGTTCCTAGTTAGTGCTGGATAGAAAACTGTTCACTTATTTTTTACTGATTCCGTCTTTTTCCAGAAGTCATCCCATCCTCACCTCAAGAACCAAAGCTTAATCTCTTGCCTAGAGATCCTCAAATTACTTGGGAGTAACCGTACATATATGTCGAGTCAATGCAGTGCTATGGACAATAACGGACTATTTCATACTTGGGATAAATAGAGACCATTGTTTCATGTTCTAGTTTACCCAATAAACCGCTGTAGAGACTGAATTAAGTATGAGTACTGGCCACTACTTTTGGACTAATGGTTTTATCAAGTTTATGGAGTAAGTGACTGATAACATTTCAGAATAGATATATAAGACTTGCTTAGTATTTACATACTGACATCTATCGTGCGTACGAAATAACCAGGTGTATAAGTTTGTCATTTGCTGAACTTTCTGCTTTTCGGAAACATTTGGGGTCTACTAAACAATAAATTGGTTAGTTCTTCAGAGCACATCTGTATAAAGAAAATGTCTACGTTATCACTCATCAAGTGACGTTGAGTATTTGCTTATTATACGGAGTCTGAGCGTTTGAATCAGCGGACAAAGAGTGAGTTAGAATATCACTTTACATTCAGGTTAAATTTCTGGTTTCTAAAAACATTTTAAGAATGTAATAACTGTGTCTTAATTTACTGGTATTAAAAATTTCAAGCAAACTATATAGGAGTTTTTGAATACTGACTGTCTGATAGATGCGCTACCAACTCAACGCATTCTAAACATTAGATTACGCGGTCTCCAAGTAAGGTTTGTGGAAATTTGTGCCTATAGGTCTTATGCAGTTTGTTTTTCTTTGAACTTGCTAAGGTTAATTGATAAATATTAAGTAGTTAATAGTAGCCTAAAGAGACTCAATGTTTTTGAACTAGACGTTTTGTGTTGCTACAGACAACTTCATTCTCCTTGGCGTGCTAAACAACGTATACTCATGACATAAATAGTGATAGCAAAACTATTTTCCAATCACTTTTTCACATTTCTCACCTCCAAGTTTAAATTCGAATATGGTGTTCGTAATTATTTATTTACTTTAGGCTGTGTTAGTAGTAAATATTTTTTCTTCGTTAATTTTTAGGTTATTGCTTTTCTTTCTGGCCTGTTCGTATCTAGTAAATTTTCTTGCACAGTGTTGATTGTAATGCCAGTCAGTGTTTTGGTTACTTGGGAAGCTGAACTAAAAAGATGGGCACCAGGACTTCGTGTTATTGTTTTTCATGATAATAGTCGAGCGGATCGTCTTAAAAGTTTAGTATCAATCCAACGACATGGTGGTATTCTACTTACAACATACGGAACACTTGTTTCCAGCATAAAAGATTTGTCTACTGATTTAAATGCAAATCCTGAATTTTTAAGGTCATACAAAAAACAAAAATCCACTGACAATGATGCCAGTGATATTCTTGCTAGGATGGGTAAAGAATTTCATTGGACTTATTTAATATTGGATGAAGGACATAAAGTCAAAAATTCATCTGCTAAGACGACCAAAGCAGCTCAAGCAATTTATGCAGATCATTGTATTCTCTTAACTGGTACTGCTGTGCAAAATAATCTCAAGGAATTATGGTCTCTTTACAATGTAACTCATCGTGGTCGACTCTTAGGTACACAAAAAACGTTTTCTATTGAATATGACAAACCAATAACTCGTGGACGCGAAAGAGATGCTTCTCGTGCTGAAAAAGTACACGGTCAATTAATGGCTGAAAGTTTACGACGTATAATAGATCCATATTTTTTGAGACGCACAAAATCTGAAGTTTTATCTCAACAGTATAATATGAATGCGGCTGTACCGATAAAAGATAAAATGCCACGTAAAACAGAAATTGTATTATGGGTTTACTTAAGTTCCATACAAGAATCCACATATCGTGATTTTTTACAACTTGATAACGTAAAAGAATTATTAATGCAACGTACAAAACGTTCACCATTAATGGAATTGGTAATTCTAAAAAAGCTCTGTGATCATCCGCGTCTTTTGTCCACTGAACAATGTTTAAATCTTAATTTAAATTATGATGATGGCAATGGTAAAGGTGATAATTTTCATATTGATGAAATTGTTTCACATAAAATACATTTTCCACCATCAGAACAACTGATTAAAGAATCTGGGAAATTCTTGTTTCTTCATTGTTTGATGAAACAGTTTTTGCTTGAATTACAATCGAATCCACAAAGAGATTCACCGCGCACGTTGATATTTTCACAAAGTATAAAGTTTCTTGATATGGCTGAAAAAGTCATTCTAGATATAAAATGTCCTGTTAATAATTATACATTTAATGACAATTTGCACTGTCCTACGCAACATCGTATTTTACGATTAGATGGTCGTACTGCAAAAGTATGCGATCGTCTAAGCATAATTAATAAATTTCAAAATGATAAATCTTATACAGTTATGCTGTTAACTACTCAAGTAAGTGTGAACGGATGTTAGTCACTTCTAAAGCGTTTGTTCGGATATACTATATACTGTCACTAAGCCTTGTTTTTAGGTCTTTCCACTTAGTAATGACTTTATGGTAAGAATTTTTGACTGGTATTGTTTGAATTTATTTCTGAAATATTGATAATTATTATCACATTGAAGCAGTGGCTCACCCACTATATAATAGGATTCGAGTCTACTACACCTTTTTCAATTTTTAGCCAGATAATATCGCCAATCTTACAAATGTTTCTCATTTATATTCAGTGTGGTACATATTTAGTTAGTCAAATATGTTTTCGACGTTTTTCATACTTAAGTCATCACTAAACGAAAGATATTTGCTTTTCCAGTACGTTCGTCATCTAGTGCAGTATAGACTTGTCGCTCGATACTCCACCTTTTCAGAAAGCCAGCAAGTCTGGCACATTTTTTCTGTCTTATTTGCTTTACGGAATATACTTCACTTAACATGGGTTCTGTAGAAGTTTTCCTGCGCTGAATTTACTTTAGTTATCCTTTTAACTGTTTTGTAACTAAGGCGTCTGTACAACAATCACCAAACATGGCTGGAGACGTTGGGTTATACTGGGTTATACGGTTTAGAATCGGCCATAGTGGGGGAGATGCATTCATTTTAAATATTCCACTAGATATTCGGTTCCCGTATACGTTCATGTATTCCTTCCCATTCTGTCTTCTCAAACCATATTCTACTAAATGTTTCAATATTCGTGAGATTTCTCTTGGCAAATTGTATGTTGGGGTTCCGGGAAGTGCTACACTTGGGCGTAGTGGGATGTTTGGTTTGTGTATTTTCGGCCTACCGTAAAGTCTGGGGAGTACTAATCTGTCAGATTTCATTCTCTATTGATGTTGGCCAGGGTCAAGTTTGTTTGACGTCCTGGTGATACGTACTATAGGACTGATCCCTAGAAGTACGATCTCCCGACCGTTGTTGCTACCTTGACGTGGTGGTCGGCCTTGCCTATCGTGATGAAGCAACCGAGCTATACTGGCTGGAACAACCGTTCCTCAAGGTCCTACCACGTCAGAAAAGTCGGTTAAAGAGCGGTAAGACTAAATGCAACAAACCCAAGGTCCGAAGGCGAAGTCGTACTGCTGACTGTACAGAGGTGTGACAGCAGTAAGGTGTTTCCTTCAGACAACCAGCATGACAGCGATGCTGCCTTCCCACAAGGAGGGGTGGGGTGGGGTTAGAAAAGGTCGACCTTAAAAATGCACACCCTCCTTGTCTCACGAATATCCGTCTCTGGCGGTAAGGTCTCAACAAGTACGGAGCTAACGCAAAAATTGCCCATAAAAAGGTCGTGTGTGACCGACCTCAAGCAGTTGTCCCTTGGGCACTGCGGTCACGCTCTCAGGTCACTAAGACCACCTCTAATCCAATTTCCTTTTCAGGTACCTCCAGAAGAACCCTTCCACGTTGTGGGCAACCGGGAAGTAATAACCGCCCTCATACCTCTAACAGCACTCAAGACCACTGTATTCATAATCAACCTCCCTCTTCAATTCCTATTATTCATCCTACATCGACTTTCCACTCTAAACTTCCTCTTTCGGCTTCCTCCTCAAATGTCACCATAGCCAACGATTCTAGTGCTCAAAACACTGTCCCATGTCTACTGAAACCTCGCTCCAAACTACACATTAGAGCCTTCAACGTACGAACCCTATGTCAAATCGGTCAGCAGGCTTCCTCGGCTAAAACCCTAGAGTCTCTTTCCATTGATGTATGCTGTGTCTTCGAAACACGCATACAGGATCCCAGTGTGGTCATTTACTTGACCTCACCTCGTCAAAACGGAGAGCCAACGAGATACACCCTCCGTGTATCTGGTGACGTGATGGCCAGTTCTCGTGGACTGGCAGGTGTAGGCATAGCACTAAGCATGAGGGCGGAACAAGCACTGCCAGAGTGGATCCCCGTCAACCGTCGTTTATGTGCTGTTCGGTTAAACGGCTACGTAAGAACTCGGAAGGATCGGGACACACATCGTTGCCTTTTCGTCGTTTCTGCCTACGCTCCCACTGACTGCAGCTCAGATGAAGTGAAAGATGAATTTTACAGAAAGCTATTTGAACTTCTTCAGAAAGCTAAACGTTCAGACATAGTACTCATAGCAAGTGACTTTAATGCCCAGATAGGTAGTTTAAACCAAACAGAAAAGCATTTAGGTGGGTATTTTAGTATTCCGACACAGCGAACAGATAATGGTGATCGTTTGCTGCAACTATGCTCAAACAGTCGTTCTGAACATGATGAAGAGCGACAACAAATCAGATCTAGGTTAAGAAAAAGTCTAAGGAACGACCGTGAGCAGTGGTGGGTAACGAAAGCAAAAGAGATGGAAAAGGCGGTGACTATAGGAAACACAAGACAGCTTTACAGACTAATAAAAGGAACTGGGATTAATAAGTCAAGTGTAAAAGAGATTATTTCGAAAAAAGACGATACCCTCATCTGCTCTCAGTCCAGACGTTTAGAACGATTGGCGGAACATTTTAGAAAACAGTTCAATTGGCCTTCAGCTACTTTACAACTACCCTCCATTCCCAGACAGTGTGAATGGAACATTGAAGTAGGTCCCCCAACTCTTGCTGATGTTGAGAAGGCTATAGTTAATCTGAAACGAGGAAGGGCAGCTGGTCCAGATGGATTGGCTCCAGAGGTCTTTAAGGATGGTGGTCCAATTTTAGCGATTAGGTTGACTAATATTTTAGCCAGGATCTGGGAGTCAGACGTTATTCCATCTGACTGGTAGCAATCACTTATCGTCCCAATATATAGGAGAGGGTTAAAATCATCCTGTGACAACCATAGAGGGATTAGTTTAACTAATATAGTATCTAAAATACTAGCCTCGATAATTATCAGACGCCTAACTAAGACTCGTGAACTGCAAACACGAGAGAACCATGCTGGCTTCAGACCTGGTCGTGGCTGCATCGACCACATATTCACTATTCGTCAGGTTCTAGAACACAGGCATACTTATCGGCGTCCGACAATGGTGGTCTTTCTTGACTTAAAAGCAGCATTTGACTCTGTAAACCGCGAGATTCTATGGCAGTGTCTGTCATTGAAATGCGTACCGCAGAAGTACATAAACCTTGTAAAGGCTCTTTACTCGAACGCTACTAGTCGAGTCAGAGCTTATGGCGAACTATCATCTACTTTTGCAACCTCAAGTGGTGTCCTTCAAGGCTGTCCATTTTCTCCATTTTTGTTTAACTTCATCATAGACCTATTGATAGAAATAACCTTCTCGTCGACTGAATTCTCGGGTATTGATCTTCTACCAGGAGGCCCACTTATCGACTTAGAATACGCAGATGACATAGTCCTGTTTGGTGAAGACGCTGATAGAATGCAGAGTCTTTTGGTAGCACTAAGCAACAATGCCAGAATTTTTGGAATGCGCTTCTCTCCCTCTAAATGCAAGTTGTTGCTTCAGGACTGGCCTGCGTCAACACCTGAAATAAGGATGGGGAGTGAAGTAGTCGAACGCGTCGACAACTTCACTTATCTTGGAAGTCTGATCAGCCCTAATGGGTTGATATCGGACGAAATCTCAGCACGGATTCGAAAAGCTCGATTGGCTTTTGCCAACTTACGTCACCTTTGGCGAAGGCGATATATCCGTCTATCAATAAAAGGACGAGTATACTGCGCGGCAGTCCGTTCTGTCTTACTTTACGGCAGCGAAACATGGCCATTAAGTGTAGAAGACACTCGTAAGCTATTAGTATTTGACCACAGATGCCTTAGAAATATTGCTGGCGTCTGTTGGGATCACCGGGTAAGTAATAGTGAGGTTAGACTCAGGGTATTAGGTAATGATGATTAGTCAGTTGATGAGGTTATGAATCTTCATCGACTGAGATGGTTGGGCCTCGTGTTACGTATGCTCGAACACCGATTACCACGACGTGCAATGCTAACCGGTGTTAGAGATGGTTGGGAGAAAGTAAGGGGCGGCCAAACCAAAATGTGGCATCAGTGCTTGAAGACACTAACCTCTGGTGGATGAAGACTACTTGGTTGGGGTCCGCGTGACTTTCGTAACCAATGGTTGGAGACTCTTGTGACATGGCTCAGAATCTATCACAATGGCGTAGGTTTATACACTCCCTGTCTTCCCTTAAACTAAGAGATTAAAATCACTTTATATCTTTCTTTCTACTAACTAATTCTTTCTTCCTGTACTTTATTCTGATATACAATCTTTCTCCAATATATTACCACCTTTGACCTAACCACTCCTATGAATCTGGTGTTCATCTTGCTGTGCTAATGACGTATGGCAACCTGGACCGATGCACATATGTGCCTGGTCCTACGTTGTAGCTGAAACTGAAAACTCTATTGATGTTGCTTCGATATTTGTCCTGCTTCACAAGATTGTTCAATACCCTTGAGGTTTGGTTGTCTAACCTTTCGGTTAGATTTGTGTCCATTGATCTATTTACGCTTTTATCCTTAATTAGTTCCTCGGCTTGCCTGATATGTTCTTCGTTGTCCATAATTACTGTAGATCATGCTTTGTCCTCTTGAACTATGACAATATCTTCTCTAGTTCTGAGTTTCTTTAAAGCTAGGTGTTGTCTTCTGTCTAGTTAGCAGTACTATGGTTTGTCTTATTTCCTGTTGAGTTTCTTCACTTATTCCATCAGTTTTGAGTGTTGAATTTAGTGTGGCGAACAGTTCTAGTTTTGAGGCGTCACTTGTATAGTAGTTTAATCCTCTTAGGAACAAACCATATTCTCAATGTTTGGTATTTATAAATATCATTGCTACTAAAATTATCACAGCTTCTTTGTTATACATCTTGTTAACCTCATCTCGTCGTGATGTAGTGTGTCAACTTGGGACAATTCATATCTGTCTTGAGCTTTACGTTGATTATGGCTGACGGACTTGCAACTAAAAAGTGTTTGTGTGTCCACTTCACTTTACAAAGTCTAGTGATAAATTCATCACTCTGGTAGTGTAACTGTTAATCAAATATCAAAGTTCAGAGGACAATAAATAATTTTTAAATCTTGTTATAATTACCGATCATAAACTGTATCTCAAGGATCTAAGGGTCTGAGAAAAGCTTATTTTAAATTCATAGTGACGTCGGCTCCAAGATTCTAAGGAAAGGACCGGTATATGAACCTACGTTACGCTTTCAATTTATACACTGTTCCACCAGCTTGTCAATTGGACGTTCAAATAAACAAGACTCAGATTTTTGTCTGAGAAAATCACCTATTTCAAGTTGGGATTTTCAAGCATCAGTATAGTCTTCGAAAATTTATGACTACTACGATGCAGAAAATGACTCCCTACCCACAGATACAAAAGTTGTAAAAGCTATAATTATTTTGTCGTAAACGAATTTATTTTGTTACAACTTATATTTTATGAAATAGCATTCTTATATACAACATATCAAACCCAAAATAAACGTGATCAGATGTCCTTTAATAAATGAACGATTGGAGAATGTAAGTTTCGTACATCACTCGCTCACCAAAGGAATTAAAGTATAACTATCAGAAGTAATTCTTCTTCATCATTTCAGTTGCATTTTCGATAAATGGTGAGGTGATTTCTTTGAGTAATTGAAAATTATCTTTGCTAAATTCTTACTCGGACTGTAATGGTTTAATTAATAAGTTACACTCATTTCATTGATTAATTAAACCATTTTCCATATATTTTCTTGGTAATTTTAGTCTCTTTGTGCGACGTAGTTTCGATACCCTACTGGACTAAGCCATTTTATCTAATACCATTGAGAAATTAGTACTTCGTAGCTAATTTCTGATAACATTTTTTCGCTAACTCGATTTTTAGTTATGCTTCACTTACGCTTTTTTATAACTTGATAAAAGCCTTATCCTTCACTTAATAAATATGACTAAGTTCATTAATATAAACATGTAATATATCTTAAAATAATCCATGCTCGGTTCATATTTCATGATTTTTTGTTGTAGGTTGGTGGTGTTGGACTGACAATTACATCAGCTAATCGTGTTATCATTCTCGATCCAAGTTGGAATCCAGCTGTAGACTCACAAGCTGTAGATCGTGCGTACAGAATAGGTCAAAAATTAGATGTAGTTGTATACCGATTGATTACTTGTGCAACTGTCGAAGAAAAGATTTATCGTCGTCAAATATTCAAAGATTCCGTAATTCGCCAGACAACGTCGACAGGCCAAAACAAAACGGACTTAGATCCTTACCGGTATTTCAGTCGTCAAGAGCTGGTTGAATTATTTAGTCTCGGAGACACACGTATTTCTGAAACTAAACGGCAGCTAGACATATTACATGATGGTTCAGATAGATGGTCTGATAGTTCCATTAGCCCACATTTAAAATTCCTCAGTAGTGATGCACTAAAGCATGTTGTTTATGGTTTATCGTTTCATGATTTAATGTTTAGTAAGGAATCTATTAACGAAGGAGCTATTGATACGGATCATGAGAAATTATACGTTATGAATCGTTGTGTTGCAGCTGAACGTGCCATAGCTGAAGAATGTGCTGTTGAAGGAAGAGTAATTGGTAAAGAAATGCCAGCAGTCACAATGACACAAGCAGAAAGTACTGTAAAATCATTGCCAACACATTTAGCAAATCTTAATTTACAAAATAAATTACCACCTTCCAGTTACCACAATCATGACAATCGTTTTAATAATCATGTACCATTAGATCAATTGTTCAAGCCTTCCAAGTCTGACACTCATAGACCAATGTTCAATAGACCAGTAACATCATTTAACAATCCACACACTAACATCATTTACACTTCATCTAATATTGAACATCATAGTGAAAATATAAGTCCCAATTCAAATATACCATTAGTATGCACCACTGCTGAGCATCAATCAGTTGATCGAATTAGTTCTGTAAACACGTACGGGGTAAATGAACCCCTCTCGCCAAAGCTAGAACGTCAGTTACAAGATGTTACTGAAGTTGTAGAAGTACAGAAGAAGAATGATAATGGATCTCTGGAAATCAGGAATTCTCCAACTGATGATCTATCGGATAATGAGTGCCTCGATACACCTCCTAGTGCACCAGTTGCTGATATAGAATGCATAACTATAGAGGATTCAATTACGCAAAGTTTGCGAGAAATAAGTATAACTCAGAAAACTCCATCAAGATCTCATGATAATGAGAAAACTAACAAAGGATCAAATATTTTGAAAACTCCACTTCATCATCTTCGAACTTCGTTAAATTCGAGATCATCATTTGCACCATTCAATTCAAATTTTTATCGTTCTACTCCATTATCTTCAAGGAAGTCAACAAAAATTCCTCCTAAGGAAAACTTTGAACAGTGTGGACAGGAATTAAACGAAAATCTCGGTGACATCAAATCACCAACAGATTTTGATCCTGCTCAGAATTATATACATATGGATATTAGTATGGACATAAACGAAGATGATTTAGCTAATACAGTAGATATGAAGTCAATTCAGCAGGTCAGTAGTTTTGAGTCTTTACTTGACTTTCTGTATATTCGTTTACATAGTTGTTGTGCTGAATTGGATCTACGAATATGCATAATAGTGGACACTGTTCTTCAACTTCGAACACAAATGAATACAGGAAATCTCTTTTATAAGAAAACGACTATAAAATTTCATTGTCCCTCTTAAACATTATAAAAAGAAGAAAAAAGCGTTACAACAGACACGTGATTTAAAGTACTCAGACTAACTTTATATGATATTAAGTGGAAGCGTATCTTATGGAATGTTATCTTACCAAGGAAACGTCCATAAACTTCTGCACTCAGTGTGGCCGAATAGGTAGCTGGTTTTCCCAAACTCTCTGATACTCCTGAGAGTGGGGAAAGTCCGCTCTCCCTTTCGAAATGCGTATGTAGCCACTACCAGGGAAGTCCTATTCATTGGATTCTCGCAGCAGGAGTGTTGTTTACGAAATTCAGAGAACAAAACGCGAATGTCCGGGTTGGTGAGTACGTAGGATTCACCTAGTGAAGCTGGAAAACCCTGATTCCAAACCTATGGTGCTTATGGTCTTCAGGATCTTGAGTAAACAAATGGTATATAAACCTATTGTTTGTCACCGGCTATCTAGGTAGCGGATCTCTCAATGTTACTCCGCTGTTTTGTGGACTTGACTTCTGGCTCGAAGGAAACCACCTGGACAGTATCCCAGCCCACACATAAATCCTGATTTGTGTGGCCACTATGTATTTTGATTCCCCTTGTACCAACCTTCGTGTGTTTAACTTATTAAGGCACTTTATATTCCACCGTTTTATTGCAGGTTAGAACTTAATTCGACATACTTCATTTTGGACAGCTGAGTATAACTAGCATCTAACAACAGGTTACATAAATTCGCCATTGTTACCGTATTTCATTTTGACGTTTAATACTCATTGCATTAGTCTAAATTGATTCGCTTTAACTTAAGTTGATATGAATGATTAAGTAAAAAAAACATTGTGTTTATCTCCACATGAATCTTTCATTCTTTCAACAACAGTGTTATGGGTTTTGGTTACAAGGTTCTCTGTTTGCAAGGTTCATTCTTGTACTTTTAAGTTTCATCCATACAGTTCTATGGTTCTATGCGAAATATCAGTTTCTGATGATTTCCTAAACAGGCCTTGGTTAGAATGGATTTAAATTTAGTATCTAGCAAGCACTATATTTTAATCTTGTAGTTTCGTTTCAACCATAATTGTTCACCCACTAGAAAGCATTACTAGTCTAGTTGATATCTTGTTTTTCAAACTAAATGGCTTTTTTAACCAACTGTTGATACTGAAATCAAAAATCATCTTCAGCGTAAGATCTACATCGAAAGTAAAGCAGTGACCTTTTTACAACTGCATAAGACTTATATAGTAAATTTGCTGTTCGTATTAGGTGGTTAGTTAGTTGATTAACCTGTATTTCTATCAAGTAGTTACTAATTTTTGTTTGATATGTATAATTTCTGCTTTTAACCTGCTCAAAAACCTAATGTGTCAATAATAATTATCGCTTGTAGGGTTACCAATTGAAATACCAAGTTGTATAGAAGTGTTAGTTTCTTTTCAAACACTTATTCCACCTCCAAAGTATTCACACAGAACTGGAATCTATGTTAAATTTTCATCACGTTTTAATCCATTGTAGTGTTTACTCACTGGATATTCTTTGATTATTTATAACATGTGTTATATGAAATATTCCTTAGAATTTTTCTCAGAAAATATCCATGAAATTGTAGTTATAAGTAGCATAAGAAATATGTCTGACTTTTTTGTGTAAATTTTATGTGCAACTATATATTTTCTGATTACTAAAAAGAAAATTTTGTCTTTTTTTAAAAATTGCTTGTAATGTTATATTTTTGTGTTCGTTTAGGTACTTGCAAAATCTGGTATTTTGAATTCTACTGATTTAAACAATATAAATGAAACTGGAGGAGGTGAATCCATGTCAAATTCAATTGAAATCCGTAAATCTTCCACTGAACAAGAACTTAATTCAGTTTCGAAAGAAAATGATTTGACTAAATCTTTAAGTGATTCTGAAGTTGCCATGGACTCTTACATAAATCGTCAGTCTGTCGAGAAGACACATATTGACGATACTGATATTATTGAATCTAGTTTCTGAAGATGTTTTTTAAAATTTGATTTTAAAATATGTAAATAGTACATCAGTTCAATATAATCGTTACGTTTTCTTTACATTAGTAAAGAGTAATTATAAAATAATATCCTAATAAGTAGAAAATAGAATTTCTATCGTTTCATGGCATAGTGTAAGTTGCTACTTCAAAAACAATTTAATTTTCTACTCATTGAAATATTACAAATGTATTATTTTATTATTACAAACAGTCTACTCAATCCTCAATGTATTTGAAAGTAAGTGGAAAATGACATATATTTTGTATTTTTGTCAATTGAGTAGCTACGAACAGAATATAAGTAAACTGTGGGCCAGTTTTTAAAAAAATTGCCAACAACATGTTTCCTGCCATTCTAGGTATTGGTGAAATTTGGCATTGTATCTACTGGTTTAAGCGAAATTAGTAAATACAAAGGTGCAGGAGTAAACATTTTGTAAACTTTATTTAAAGCGCATAAATTGTGGTCGTTTCGCAAGTTTGCTAGTGACATCAATCACTATTTTTGTGACATCATGCAAATGCTCACAATGTCCATCCATAATTGTTAGCGGACTGCTAGGTAGTCTTTAAACTACCTCAGCGAAAGAATAAAAGTACACAAAATGGAAACAAAAAGACATTCGTTCCCCCAGGATCTTGCAGCGTTTTTTTAAACAAAAAGCTCACCACTTTGGTCGGCCTATCTCATTCTTATGTATTCTTTGACTAATGCTCATTAGTGCTAATGAATTTTGAAGATGTTTTAAACCAAGCTACATCCAGGGGGCAAGAAGTTTGCTTGATTGCTTAGACTGATGACTCACATGCACATGTGTGTTGCTAGACCTCCAAATAAACTGACAATATACGAGCACCTTATACATCAAAATTATCGTATATAAACCATAATAGCCACGGGAATCAATAATAATGATTAATCAGGAAGGCGCATAGAACTGTTGCTGAAATAAGTGATTCAGAATGCTATAAAGATTGTTGTTCATAACAAATGGTATATTAGCATCGAAGATATATGCATACCTGTATTATTGGACGTGAACGAAGAGAAAAATGAGTATATAACATGATAATACAAAAATTACCTGACCAATGTAGATAAGAATATAAGGTAAAATGACTTTTAGAAAACGAGATGAACTTACCTGTTAGAGAGAAATCTTTCAGTTAACGAATAGCTATGGCAAAACCCAGTAAATTTTTAATGTCCTTGGTGTGGTTACGTAAATATTATCAAAAATTTGAAGTATGAAAACAACTGACACTTGAATTAAATGCATTTAAAGCATAAATATTTGTCAAATTGGGTTTGCATCAGTCTATGTTTGGTTTACGAGATGCCTTAGATTTGTACGCTGCATTGAACTCACTCGTTGATTTACTAATTTGTGGCACATATGGGTTGTGTCCGCTTTCTCATAAAATTTTTTAGCTGCCGCATTACATTTATTACGTTTGGTAACTGCATAGAATATGTTGTCTGATTAGAGTTTGGAAAGCTGTGTCGATTGACTTAACTTCTTAGTCTGCGTCTGACTTTGAGGTTACATTTGCTTTCAAAGGGTATGTTGAATTTTTTTTCTTGACTGATCAGACTGAACTAGGTAGTGAGAATATGAACTTTAAGGCCTAATGATTCAGCTACTAACTATTCAATACCTACTGTGTGCGCTCAGACAGTCTAATATCTAAAAAAGGAACAGTTTTCGTATCGATGGAGATGGTTCTAAGCTGTCCCATAAGTGTAAAACGTTTTTATTCATTTGGTATATCAAAATGTATCAATCCTATCATCAGATATTGATCTATCTAATGAACTCCCTAATTTCTGCGTCTTATTTCACACAAATTTTTTGATAAATACACCAAAATATTATATTTCTTTTCATAAGATAAACCGATGTTTGTAAGTATCAGGTATATAATTTGAATTGAAAATGCTATTGCAGATTATTTGACAAAAACCAATCGAGTATTCTGAAACTTTGCCGAGATTTCAACGGATATCAGCCCATAAGGGCTGATGAGAGTTCCGAGATAAATTATTTGTTTTTGACTCAATCAACTCCTTCACTCGCTGTGAACAGTCTAAGTGATGTTGCAATTCAGTCCTAAAATTGCATGAAAAGCAACCCATAGGTTTTGCATTGTTGCTCGAGGCGTTTGGAAGATTGGGCTTTCTAGTTATCCTTATTTAGCACAATTATCATCTGAGTATTCTAGATTGATAAGTGAGTTTCCGAGTAGAAGATATATACTTGAAAATTTAAACGAAGGAAATTTCTATGTGAATACTTGTAACGAGAAAAATGGGGATAGCGAGCTGCCTTGAAGAACGCTGATGAAAGTTGCCAATTACAGCCTTAACTCAACTAAAGGTGTTCAAGTAAATAGTCTTCAGGAGGTTTACATGCTTTCCAACACACCTTTCAACGACAAACACAACCACAAAACCTCTTGGTCAACGTAGCCAAATGCTCTCCTCAGGTCAGTGAATTTGATTAGAGCTGAGCGTTGGTATTTGCTCTAGTATATTAACTTAGTCAAGACTTACATGATCACATCTCCAGGTGACCTGGTTTACGCATTTTTGCTGTTCCAAAGTAAGTGATAAAGCAGGCTATTGTTTAAGATATCTTGTTATCTCACACCACAACACATTGATACTATTGTTTGTTCTTGGTAGTACTACTCTCTATCTGACCTGCTTGGTATAATACAATCACAAATAAAAAGTACTCCAACCAGTGTATCTCAACTTGATCGTCACGATATAAAAGTTAGACAGTCATGCCAATGTAGCATCGATAATCAGAGCTGTAAGCATTGTTAGTATTCTCGCTATGGGTCAATGAACAATTTACACAGAATATTAGATGTACTCTTTTATGATTGTATTATTGACAATGACTAGGAACTTTCCTGGAGATTATGCGTTCGCTGAGCTGGATGGCTTAGTCATTAAGCCTTTATTCTCCTCACAGACAAAGTTGTTAGCACGTACTTCAAAAACAAGTGAGGTGTTAAAGTTTCTCTGCTGTTTGATTTATAAGTTTTTTGACTTATTCTGATCAAATTTTCAAGAACTAATTTTGTGATCATCAATTCGAAAAATTGTATATTAGATCTTTTAATTTTGAAAGCAAATTTATAATGTTATCAATCAAATTAAGTCATTTGACTTCTTATAACGTTTTTTTTTAAATTTGAGATCACTGGAGAGATTCTCATGTGCATGAAACAAGGTGTTTATTGATTTCATATTTATTAAAAGGTTTGTGCTATGCTACTACGATTTCTACATGTTATTACGTCGTTTAAGTGGTTGTATCCTTATGTCTAACCGTAATGCAAACACCATACTTCATATATGCTACCAACAGTGAACAAATTCTTCATTGATTAGTTCAACACAGTTTATTTGAATCTTTTAGAGCAATTTAGGTTCACATGCACAATAATTTTAAGTTCATCGTGAATGTTTATATGGAATACTGAAAGTGAATACTGATATATTTACCTTATTAAATTCGCAACGTTGTGACCTCAACCATAAAACAGTTTGTGCGATTTTCATAGTTTATATCGTATGCTTTAAGACAATGAAAATTCTACAATTTACCCGTTCATCAATGACTGACTTCAAGATGCTATTCTTGGAGTTCTAGTGATAAGCCGTGACCACTGGAGTCCAATCATATCGGGTGTGAGACAGTTATCTATTGTAGGCATTAGATGAGGGTTTGAGATACAAACCACTGGCTGTTCAGTGATCTAGACGTTAAGCGTTCACGAGAGAAACTGAAGGTTCTGGGTCTAGTCCTCTGTCGTGAGGTTACAAGTGTACATTTTACAGTCCCGACCGTTGTTGCTACCTTGACGTGGTGGTCGGCCTTGCCTATCGTGATGAAGCAACCGAGCTATACTGGCTGGAACAGCCGTTCCTCAAGGTCCTACCACGTCAGAAAAGTCGGTTAAAGAGCGGTAAGACTAAATGCAACAAACCCAAGGTCCGAAGGCGAAGTCGTACTGCTGACTGTACAGAGGTGTGACAGCAGTAAGGTGTTTCCTTCAGACAACCAGCATGACAGCGATGCTGCCTTCCCACAAGGAGGGGTGGGGTGGGGTTAGAAAAGGTCGACCTTAGAAATGCACACCTCGCCTTATCCCACGGATATCCGTCTCCAGCGGTAAGGTCTCAACAAGTACGGAGCTAACGCAAAAATTGCCCATAAAAAGGTCGTGTGTGACCGACCTCAAGCAGTTGTCCCTTGGGCACTGCGGTCACGCTCTCAGGTCACTAAGACCACCTCTAATCCAATTTCCTTTTCAGGTACCTCCAGAAGAACCCTTCCACGTTGTGGGCAACCGGGAAGTGATAACCGCCCTCATACCTCTAACAGCACTCAAGACCACTGTATTCATAATCAACCTCCCTCTTCAATTCCTATTATTCCTCCTACATCGACTTTCCACTCTAAACTTCCTCTTTCGGCTTCCTCCTCAAATGTCACCATAGCCAACGATTCTAGTGCTCAAAACACTGTCCCATGTCTACTGAAACCTCGCTCCAAACTACACATTGGAGCCTTCAACGTACGAACCCTATGTCAAATCGGTCAGCAGGCTTCCTCGGCTAAAACCCTAGAGTATCTTTCCATTGATGTATGCTGTGTCTTCGAAACACGCATACAGGATCCCAGTGTGGTCATTTACTTGACCTCACCTCGTCAAAACGGAGAGCCAACGAGATACACCCTCCGTGTATCTGGTGACGTGATGGCCAGTTCTCGTGGACTGGCAGGTGTAGGCATAGCACTAAGCATGAGGGCGGAACAAGCACTGCTAGAGTGGATCCCCGTCAACCGTCGTTTATGTGCTGTTCGGTTAAACGGCTACGTAAGAACTCGGAAGGATCGGGACACACATCGTTGCCTTTTCGTCGTTTCTGCCTACGCTCCCACTGACTGCAGCTCAGATGAAGTGAAAGATGAATTTTACAGAAAGCTATTTGAACTTCTTCAGAAAGCTAAACGTTCAGACATAGTACTCATAGCAAGTGACTTTAATGCCCAGATAGGTAGTTTAAACCAAACAGAAAAGCATTTAGGTGGATATTTTAGTATTCCGACACAGCGAACAGATAATGGTGATCGTTTGCTGCAACTATGCTCAAACAGTCGTTCTGAACATGATGAAGAGCGA